CTCTGCTCTTCGAGTCTCAAATTTGTTTACCTTGAATCATGCAATACCTCCTTTTCCTAAGGACCTACATGTTGTTCAGTCATTTTTCAGTTGTATTTGACTCTTTGTGATCCCATTTGGGGTTTTCTTGGCAGAGATACTGCAGTGGTTTGCCATTTCCTTCTCTAACTTGTTTTACAGATGAAGACCTGAAGCAAACAGGGTGAAGTGACTTGCCCAGGGTTTCACAGCTAGTAAGTGCCTGAGGCCAGATTCAGGAAGATCAGTCTTCCTGACACCAGGCCCAGCACTTTACCCACTACCAACCTATATGTAGAAAAATATTTATGGCAGCACTTTTGTGGTGGCAAAAAAACCGGGAAAATGATGGAGTGCCCATAAATTGGGGAATGGCCGGACAAGTTGTGGTATATGAAGGTGATGAAATACTATTGTATAGTAAGAAATGGACGGTTTCACAAAAACCTGGAAAGATTTATGTGAACTGATGCAAAGTGTAGTGAGCAGAACCAGGAGAACAATGTACAATAGCAACACCATTACAAAGATAATCGATTTGGAAAACTTGGGAACTCTGATCAACACAATAACCAACCACAATGCCAAAGGGCTCAGGATAAACCATGCTATTGCCCCCAGATAGAGAGCTGATAGGTTCAGAGCCCAGACTGAAGCATATTCTTTTCTTTCTTTTATTATTTTGGCTAATTCAGGAATTTGTTTTTCATAACTATGAATATTTGTAGCAAGTTTTCTTTTTCTTGCCTTCTCAGTAGATAGGGGAAGGGGAAGGAAGAGAAAACATGAGAATTTGGAATTGAAAATAAAATAAAATAGAATTTTTTAAAAGTTTACAAGCTGTCTCTTTTTCCTCCCCTCCCTGCTCTGTGTAACATTCCTCCATTCCTTAACATCCTAAAAGAGTCAAATTTCCTCCAAACTAATTCAGATTTTTTTCCTCCCTATTGAAGTGTTTCTTTTTCTTCTCTGTTTTTAGGAACACATCATTGCCCCCAGATAACCTGGACTGTGCAGAGGCATTCCACAAGTGCCTTCCCCTTCCCTTCTAGGAGAGAGATCAACCAAGGCTTGGAACACAGAGACTAATTAGTTATTTGACTGTGGCAGACAGACAAATATCACACACAATTTAAATCACTGAAAAATTTTCTGTGCTTCCCCACACTGATTGACATTCTTGGCCCTGTTGTCTGAGCTGCTGGGGGGTATTTACACTTCTCCCCTAAGCTGCCATTAACAACCATCTCCACAACCTTTTTTTTTTAATCACTTAACAACTTGAAAACCACAGCCAACTTTCCTTCCTTTGTCAGCCCTTCCCCATTTCCTTTTCTTACTAATTTTCTCTCACTAATTCTCACTTGTATTTTTTTTTCTCATTAACCTCTCCTCCTCTGCCCACCCTGACAAAACCTGCCAAATCCTATTCTTCCTGGCACCTTAGGTCTGAACTTAAATCTCGGCTTTTCATGAAGTCTTCCCAGTTTGAACAGCCTTTCACTGCCCTCTAAATCGAGAACTGAATGCAGAAATTTTGTACTAATTTGAGCATCTGAAATAGTTACAGAGCACATAAAAAATTCAAGTGAGAAGATCATCGTGGCCTGTCCCTTTTTCTATTGACAAGAAATTTGTTTATGTCAAATGTGATATTCCCTTCTCTGTCAAAAGGCCTTACTGACAGTAAGAAAGCCCCTCCCTCTCAACAATCCCAAGAATGTCACTGCATTCCTGCTCTTGAGGTAGTTACTCTCAACTAGCTTGTGCTGGCGCCTCATAAACATGTCCTTGCTTCTTTCATTAGATTTATGGTGACTTAGATCACAGAGGGTAAAACAACCAGAATGAAGTGGGTTTTCTTACTTGGATAGCCAAGGATGGCTGGGCCCTCATGACCAGGCCTTATTCCCTATATGACTCCTCTCTCCTCCCTGCCCCTTTTTCCTTCCTGAAAGTATAAAAACTTTTCTCTAAGTTCCCTTGGACAGATATATGGGTGATCCACACAGGCTCGTCACCCCATTTATCTCCATTAAAAATGCCTTTTTCCTTCACTTATGACTTTGATTTATTTAAGCACTAACACTACTAATATTGCTGGCTAGCTGAGGTGTCAGTCAGTAGCAAGCCCACCTTAATGCCTTGAATTGTTGTATCATGCTGGTCTGGAGGGGACTGGGTGTGTTTTCATTGGTGCTTTCCCTGCATAATTAACACAATAAGAAGGTCCCTGTATCTTAAGATTCAATTTGTATAAATTTTTCACTTTTTCTGAAAGATTATGGTAAGAAGAAGGCCCTGATCAGGGACATTCTAATAATGCAAACTATTATTCATTGATGTTCCAGAAAGTCGGGGAAACAAAGATTACTTTCATGTCATCAGACAGTCCCTTGTAACTTGGTGGGAGTGAAGACAATGTCCTTTCCAATTAGGCTCAGGCATTCATAACTGCACTGATGTCTTCAAATATCTCCGTATGTTCACAGCCCTACTGAACTGCCAAAGTACTCACTTGTCTGGACCACTCGTAAGGCACTGATTCCATGTTGCTTTATAGTGTTGATTATTTTTTCATGTATATGTGATTTCCTAGATAGACTGGAAACTCCTTGAGGCCAGGGATTGTGCCTTAAATTTCATTGTATGCCCAATGATGCTTAGCAGTGGGCCTTCCTTACAAATAGTAGGTACTCAATAAATTGATGTGCATCAATAACCTCAATATAACTCAGAGAATAAAGGGGGATGGTTGGATGTAATCTGCCTGTTTAAGCCAATTAATGCCTAATCATCTTCATGTGGAAAAGTTTTAATCCTGAACCAGTACAAGGTAATCCATCAAACCCATAAAAGTCCAAGCCCTTAGGGAAGGCAAACTAAATTCTACTACTAGATTCAGCAAACAAAATGGTAAAAGTCAGGAGACCTGGGATCTAGACCTGGCTCATCCATTGATTAGCTTTGTGACCTTGGATAACTCACTTACCTTCTCATGTGCTCAGTTTTCCTATATGGTGGGGAGGAGAAACTCTGGACGTAAGGGGAGAGGTTGCAATAAATTATCTCCATCCCAGTCCTAACATTCTTTAAGAAAAATAAGGCACCAGAAAATAATACAATTCATATAGAAGACTAAAATAAATTTTATTTAATTTTTGTCTGCTAATTTGTATTATCCATACTACTGCTTACCTCCATTAATGTGGATAATTCAGTAGGGAGCATAATTAAATATTCATGTGTCCCCTGTCCATGTGACTCCCTGTAGGTACAAATGGTTTCTTTTTGTACTCTGTGTGCTTGTATGTCATGTATTCCTCCCTGTTTACACTTGGAGTTCTTCCACAAGTGCAGCTGTATCCATCGGTTCCTCCCTCAAGCCCTCAACATGTATGGAAGGTGCTGCCTTTGTACGGGTCAGCGATGATGAGCATGAGTTTGGCAGTCACCATCAAAAACATCTGGCCTGCTGCCTGCTCCAGTATCAGCTGGCGCTGAGCTGCCAGAATATATAGTATGAAAAGAAAACATTGTACTCAGTACTAAGTACAGGTGTGTATTGATTTACTTTGTAGATATGTTCTAGAGACATGGCAGCATTTGATTTAAACTTGGAAGGGAACCAAATCCCTCCTTTTATAAGAGAAGAAGCTTATGTCTAGAGAGGTTAAGCGACTGTTCCTGGGTCATACAGTCAATTCACCGCAAAGCATCTCCGTAGTCCCAGTAAGGTGTTCTTTCTGCCACATCACTCTGAAAGGATAAAGACATTGGAAGAGGGCAGTCTCATCTTTATAAATCACATAGAAGCATTTTATTTGGACCTCTCCTTTTGTTTCTTGTATTCTAATTGGCATTGTAGTTATTTATTTAAATGCAATTTCACCTACTAGGTGGCAAGTTCCTTAAAAACAAGGATTGTACTTTATTTCATCTTTGTGTATCCCATGTCTCATACATAGTAGGCACTTAATAAATATTTGAATTAAATTGAATTGACTCCAACTACAGAAATTTGCTCTTCAGTGGAATCTTCTGAGGACTCTTTTCATAAAGTGAAGTCCCCCTATATTTTGATTTTGCAATTTGTTTTTTCTTCTTTTACTTTTTATTGATATTACATTTTTTAGTTCACCTTCAGATCCAAACATAACTCTCTCTCCTCCCTTACTGAGGGACTCATCCCTTGTAACAATGAATTTTTAAAAAGTACGCCAGCAAGACCGATCAACAGTCTGTACCATACCCCACACCCCTACTCATTCATGTTGGCAAAGAAGGGAAGGGGGAGGGCTTCAGACACTTAATAGCCATTTGACCCTGGGCAAGTCATTTAACCTCTGTTGGCCTCTGTTTCCTCATATGTAGAATAGGGATCATAATAGCACCTACTTCTCAGGGTTGTTGTGAAGATCAAATAAGAAAATATTCATTAAATGCTTAAGTGCAGTGCCTAATACATAATAGGTACCTAATAAATTGCTCCCTTCCACCCTTCCATAATCCTAATTTTGAGGTTCTGTGATTCTTTAATGGGACTAGACACTTTAACAGACTATTACCGTTGGATGCTAGCCCATCATAAAAACAATTTCTCCTTAGATCATTCCTTGTATATTTTAAAAGAAACAAGTCAGTATCTTTAAGTGAAATTTGTCTCTAAGGCTCTGACTTTCATCAGTGAGTTTTGCATCCTGGGGCTACCTCCTCCCAGCCAGTAGTTTTAATATAAAAGAAGGAAGATCCATTGAAATTATCTTATTTTTAAAAAGGGGGGGGAGAGGAATGAAACTGGAATCTCCCAGCTATAAACCAGTAAGCTTGACTTTGACTCCTTGAGAAATCCTAGAACTGGAGCAGCTAGGTGGCACAGTGGAAAGAGCACCGGCCCTGAGGTCATCAGGACCTGAGTTCAAATCCAGCCTCAGCTGTATGACCCTGGGCAAGTCACTTAACCCCAATTGCCTAAAAAAAGAGAGAGAGAGAGAGAAATCCTAGAACATATCAATGGGATAGTTAGTGAAAATCTAAAAAGGGGTACATTGATCAAAAAGAGGTGGCATGGCTTCATCAAGAATAATAGGTCATATCTAAGTTGTTATTGTTGTTTTTCTATAAAGCCTGGAGCAGAGCTGGAAAAGAAGTGAACCTTAATGGGCAGGTTACTTCCTTAAATGTTGATCCCAGACTAGAATCTACCAAGAGGAGGAAGGAGGAGACACAGGGCAGAGGCATATGCAGGGTGAGAATACTTTCAGAGTGGAGGTAAAAAAAAAAAGTATGGAGTGTTAGGAGCAGAGCCCAAGAAAAAAGGCACGTTTATCAAATTTTCAGATGACACAAAGCTTAGAGAAATAAATTGAGTTATTATTCCACTGGTCTCATAGTTACTGAGCTTTTCTATGTATTAATTTCTGGGATTCATTTCTTTAGAGCCACCTTTTGGCCATCTCAGCTGCCATATAATGAATCCTAGGTCATTGACTAGAAAGTTTCTTAAGAAGGAGAGACTGACAGTACTTGTGTCATAACTGAGGATATGCGCTACTATAACCAGTTAAGAAACAGCCTGACACAAATAAGGATGAATGCCCCCAGGCTGAGAATAAGGTTTTTCTTTGATTGGCCATTTCCGGTGCTGAATTAAGGCCATTGTCACATACAACAACCTAATTTGGGATTAGACTTTCCTTGTAACTCTTTTTAACTCTTTATGGAGATTCAGAGGCCCAAAATCAGTTGGGGGAAGGGGGTTACCAAAGAAAACACACAGGAACTATACGGAGATTGGGAGAGTAAATTCCACTTTGCTCCCAAAATCCTCTCTGGATTGGCCTGAAAAACAATTGGCGCTAGAATGAAAGGTCAAGGAGTTGAGGTCAAAGCAATCTATTTCCCGGGACCCCATTCCTTCCTTTCTCACTTATATCTTTCAGCAGGGGAAACAAAATACTGGCTGCTTGTGTCATATTGTGTTTGGCAAAAAGCCCTACTGTCTCTGTACATATAAAATATTATAAAATTATTCTTCCACGTGTCGCCATGGAGTTCTAAAATTAAAGAGGCCTAGGAGTTAATCTAGTCTAACTTGTACGTGGGCATAAATCTCCCCCCACCCCCATCACGTCCACATATCCCTGATAATCCATCCTCTGCTTCAATAGTTTCAGTGACAGGAAACTCACTCCCTCATCAGACAGCCACCCATTGCACTTTCTGACAGTTCTAATTATTTGGAAGCTCTTTCTCATACTGATCCAAAATTCTTCCTCCCTGTAACTTCTGCCTATTGATCCTATTTCTTTCTTCTAGAGCCACATAAATCTAATGTGTCTTCTATATGACAGCCCTTTCGATATTTGAAGACAACTTTCATATCTTCTCATCTTCAAGGTAAATGTGCCCCAATCCCTTCAATCCATCTTTATATGACATGGCTTCATGGAAAACTTGGAAACTTTTCTGCAGGTAAAAGGAGAGAGAAGCAAGAAGGCCCAATGTCAGATGGAAAGTTCAATTATTTGTTTCTACTTTAAGTTGCTTGGTTTTGAAAGGAAAGTTGTATACCTACCTCACAAGGAAGATAAGAAATCTCCAATTGCCTCTGTATTACAATGGGCTCTGCACCCAGGGGCCCATCCTTTTCTGCAAAACACACTTAGATGTCACTACAGTGAGAGAGAGAGAGAGAGAGAGAGAGAGAGAGAGAGAGAGAGAGAGAGAGAGAGAGAGAGAGAGGAAGAGAGAGAGATTTATATATATATATATATATTCATTTATTTATTTATATGTTTGTTTATATATATATATTTATTTATATGTATATTTGTTTATATATATATATATATATGTTCAAAATGATGGCAAAAATGGAATAAGTAGCTAGAATTTTGAAAACCTAGTTTTCCAATGTTGTACATGTGTGTGCACATCCACTCTTGGTTAAATATTGACCAAATCTTATGATATAATTAATTGCCACTATTTCTATTTAAGTCACATTGATCTAAAATCCTGGCTCATACTCAGTCCCCTTGTCAATTTCCAAAACCATGTGCCTTGCGTTATAGTGTATTCCCAAATGAATTCAGTGTGTGCCCTTGTCCTTAGCTCAAGACTTTGGCTTTCTCCCAGAGCCCTGAGAAAGGTCATTCGTACAGTATAGTGGGAATACATTTATGGTAGAAAACAAAGCAAGAGCTGCTCCCAAGTTCAACTACAGAGTCCCCTTGGGATTTGGAGAGTACTAACCATCAGAGTTGATATAGCAATTCTGTGGCAGGCAGTATACCTATGTGACACAGACTTCCCTAACAGCCCGAATTTCTGAGTAAGCCAAGAGATATGAGCTTTGGGTCCCCTTTCAATCTGCTGTCCCCCATTGAAGCCAAGCAATCATGAGACCTCATATTTATATGTTGGAGGGGACTTCTAGTCTAACCTTCAGTTTGTGGATGAGGAAACTGAAAACCAAAGAGTTTAAATTATTTGATCCACACTGTGAAAGAAATATCAAAGCTACGTTTCAAATGTAAGAAATGTAAAATGTTTTCAATGTTTCTAAGTGCCTGTGCCATCTCATTTGATTCCCCCAACCCCAGAAAAACACAGGTCAAATATTAGTATAACCATTTTATAGATGAGAAAAACTGAGATCTAATGAGGTTAAATCAAGTCAACATGCATTTATTAAGTACCTACCATGTGCCAGGCACTGGAGTCCTGGAGATATAAAGAAAGGCACACACACACACACACACACACACACACACACACACACACACACACACACCACCAAAAAAAAAGAAAAGAAAACCCCCCCACAAGTTTCTGCTCTCAAGGAATTCATGGTCTAACAGACGTCAAATGGGTTGCCTAAGGCTACATACCTAGTGACATAATTGGTACTAAAACTTAAATTTCACATCTCCTAGTCTGAGTTTTGTTTGAGTAACCCAAAATAACTTCCCCTGCCATAGACCACGCTCCTTCACCTACCCCAACTGGTTTGTATTCAAGGAACTGAAACTAACCAGAAAGCCAAATCTATGCACGCTTGAACACACCCACACACTCACACACACACAAATACACATATAGAAAGCTTTCTAAAGTCAAATAAAAATTACCTTGCTTTCAGATTAGCATTAGCCTTGTATTATTCAGGACACTCCTCTTTTCTATGATGGCAGATAATTGAGATAATTCATATTTGACAGTTAACTCCTTGCACAAAGCACTCACAGCTATTATCTAATTTGTTCCCCAACATCTCTAGGAGATGGCAAGGGAGAAAGGGCAGGAATTATTATCCCCCCCACAAACACTTTTGTTCCACCAGAATCAATCTATTCTCAATCTCCTTAGCATTCTCTCTCAGTAAGTGGCTAAAATGTCTGTACACTTTGACCAAAGATTTCACTGCTAAGCATATACACCAAGAAGGTCAATGACATGACAAAAAGACCCATATATGACAAAATATTTATGGTAACACTTTTTTTGTCATCAGAGAGCTTGAAACTGAGTGGATGCCCATAACTGGGGAATGGCTAAACAAAATGTGACATATGAATGTAACGGATTATGACTGTGGTAAAAAATGAAGAATATGAAAAATTCAGACAAGCATGGGAAAATTTACATAAACCAATGAAAGTGAACCAGGAAAACAATATATGCAATGTCAGTCAAAACCAAATGCAATGAAATTGTAGTCACCAAGCTAAACCTCCAATAAGAAATATGAGAAGCTACTTTCTGCTGCTTCTTTGCAGAAGACGTGGGTGTGGAACACTAAATGTAAAGTCAAGCTTTTTTTTGATATGTTAGTTTTCCTGAACTTTTTTATTCTTTATCAAAAAACAAAAGATATCAATAATATTTTACTTTTAAAATTATTTCTTCATGCCTTTGTTCATGCTGGTTCCCCCCCACATCTCTTCATAACCAAGTCCTATCCATCTTTCAAGTCCCATATTTTCCAGAAAGCCTTCCCAGGTCACCTCAGCATGGGGATTTCTCCCTCTTTCTGAAGTCGTAGTACTCATCAACTGTATTTTTGCACTTAAGCTTGGATGTGATATTTCTTGTGTCATCATTTTTAGTTACTTAATGAGGGGGGTATTTAACTTTTCAGGTATGTGTGTGTTGTTCTCCAGGTACATTATAAACTTTCTGAGGGAGGGGACATGACTTACATTTCTCTGTAGCCCACTGAGTACCTGACACAGGGCCATGAACATAGCAATAATTAGAATTTATTTAGCACTCTAAGATTTGCAAAACACCTTACATAGCCTCTCATTTTTTCCTCACAATAACCTTACTAGGTGGGTGCTATTATATCCCCATTTTACCGATGAAGAAACTAAGACAGGGAGAATTTAAGTGATTTGCCCAAGGTCATACAGCTAAAGGCTGATACTTTTTTTTTTAATGATCTTCATCTGAATGAAGGACTAAGGATAGTGTCAATGATCGTCCCATTGTACTGTCCCATTGTACAGTTCAGGTCAAACAATATTTGCCATATTGTGCTGGACTCATCGCATATTGTGTTAGGATCGATAGTGATAAACTTGAGTTTATCTAGAAGAATGTAACTAGGAAGATGGAAAGCCTTAAGATCATGCCATATGGTTCTAATCAAGGTAATCAGGGGAGGCCCCCTCTTCTGATTTTCTGGGCCAGGGCAGCTCCTATGAAGTTGTGCTCTGGCTTACTGATCCCTGTGTCTGGGGGACTACACCAAAGATAACTGGTGACTGGGCCAAGAAGGACCACCTCCTCAGAAGGTAATAAAAAGAAGAAAAGGAAAACAAAACAAACCTCTTTTCTATCCCTCACCATTTTGAATGCAATAGCTTTGGGACTCTGCCAGCTCTCCCTTGGATTCCAGGCAGGGTAGGAGGAGATTTTTCTCCTCCCGCTCCTCTCCCTAGCATAATGATGCCAAGAAGACATGTCAGCAAGAACATATTCTGGCCTGCTTGGGCCTGACATTGGACTTAGAGTCCCTGGCTGACTCTTCTGTTTTGTGTTTCTTTCTCTGAGCACAGGTCACTGAACAGGAATCCAAAGAGATAGATAATTCTCACCTTTGTGGCTACCTCATCAGTTTGAGAGCTCCTGACTTCCCCAACCATTCCTGCAACTCCTGAGGAAAACATAGCAAAAGGAAAATGCTGCAGCTAAAAGAACTCAGAAAGTCCAAACCATTCCCTCGCTGGCCAGAAGATCTCAGTCTTGTGAGTTGTATAGACAGTGAAAGTGAAATATTAATTCAGCAGTCCCACAAAATGTCTTTGCCTCTAGGGAGAAGTGTAATGAGTTATTGTTTTATGTTTTCAGTATTTGTTAATGCATGTTTGTAAGACTGCTATGTTTTAAGCATTCATTTTGTGATGGAGGAAATACATAGCTAGAATATACCTGATATGTATTTCACATATTGAGTATTCTTTAGAAATGACTTTGTTAATGGGCTAAACCAACTTTTGTTTAAGAGATTTTCCCCAGAACTTTGAGTTGGGGCTGGGGGGCATAAGGCACTAGAGATGAGAATCTGCTTGAATCCTCTCTTTTTATTGGGGGAAATGTGATCAGGACTGAAACCAGTTCATGTAAGTCCAGAGCAGGAGCTCCCTTTTCTCAGGAGGACCCGAAGGCCACAACAATATGAAGACTGGTTGAGTTCTGTTCAAATATTTGAAGAACTGTCATATAGAAAAAGCACGGGATTTTCCTTAGCCCCAGAGGGCAGAACTAGATGAGATGCCTAAAAATTGCAGGAGTATATTGATGGCTGATGTAAAAAGCGAACAAATGAAAACAGCTTCCTAACAATCAGTGCTGTCCAAAAGTGCAAAGGGCTCTTTACTCACTGGAGGTCTTTAAGCAAAAAGCTGGATGATGATGTTTCCTCATATGCTATTCAAGAATAGACTGGAAAGCCTCAGAAACCCCTTCCAACTCTGAGCTTCAGTGATTCTACCACTTACTACCTATTCTGTCTTGAGCAAAACATTAATTTCCCTATGCCTCTTTGGTTATCTGTAAAATGATGGTGTTGGACTAAGGGACCTCCAAGGTCCCTTCCAAGTTTGACTCTCTGATCCTAGGACTGGATGACCTCTAAAAACTCTTCCAGCTCTCTTTTTATGATACGATAACACAATGATCCTTTGTGGGCAGCGAGAAAAAGGAAGAAGAAGTCAAAGATAAGCACCAGGCTTTTTAAACACGGGATATTGAGTGAATGGTGGTAACAATGAAGAAAATATTTGAGACAAAAAAGGGAAGCAGGTTTTTTAGAAGAAAGTTAAGTTCCCATTTGGATATGTTGTCTTTAAGATGCTAGCACAACATTCAGATGTAGAGAGAAGTCTTGTAGGTGGTTGGAAATATGGACTGGATCTTGAGAGAGGTTAGGATTGAATTTATGCATCTGAAGATTATCTGCATGAAAGGAGATAACAAACTGAAGGAATGAATGTGATTGCCAAAGGACAAAGGGTAGGGAGAGAAGAAAAGACAGGCCGATGATTTAGAACCTTGGGGAAGACTAGCAAAAAGGGGTTGTGGAAAGGACAGAAAACCTTTACAGGCAAACAAAGGAGTGTCATGGAGGAAGGAGGACAAGGAGACTATCTTAGAAGCTAGGAAG